CTTAACATTTGCCAAAAACACCTTAAACACCGTCCAAAAATATTGTGATGAGAATTTTGCTGTTTCTCTAGGTTCTCTTTTAATTCCATATACCACTCCTTTTAACTGCGATATACGTTTTCGAATACTTAATATCTTAAGTAATTTATGTTCAAAACTTTATATATATAAGTATAGAGTTAATTTTCTGTTAATAATATCTATATTACAAATTGAATAATATTCTTTAAGTTATTACTTATTTAAATTTAAGTAATTACTAAACGTTGTTAATGGTAATATAATAGAAAAAATTTGGTTATGTAAAACCTAAATATTTTTAAAAATGTGTATTGTATATCTTGTTTCTCATGTATCTAAATAATTTAAATCCATTAAATTTACTAAACTTCCGATATTCAACATTATTTAGTATCATAAAAGAAAACTTATTTATAATTTTTAAAAGGTTTATTTCCAAATAAATAAATATTTTTAAATAATTGTATAATTTAAACTATTACTGTAGAATATTAAATGTTTGTGTTTTGTTTAACGATTGGTATTTTATATTGCTGTAACTTTTTATGCGTATTATGTATTATATTAATAAATGTAAGAACAATTGATATAAAATTTATTAATAACGATAAAATATAAAAGATATTATTGAATATTTTAAAATAATTATAAAAATTGTGGAATTTAAATAACTTAGTTAAATATTATTAAGAATATTATTTGTAACGAAATTAACTGCTTTTTATTATTTCCCATTGTATTTAAATATAGTTACAAAAAAAATGAATCGATCATTTATCAAATATAAGTAAACATGTAGTTTTCATTATTTTTTTTCATTCTTATTAATATTTGAATATTTTTTAATTTAATGACTACATGGAAATATTCAGATTTACATAAATTAAAAATATTTGTCAAGAAAAATATTACAACAAATTCCTTCAATATGTCGTAATCACTAAATATTTTGCTGCTATTCTGTAAACACTATCTATTTTCATATTAATCCCAATAGTCAAGTAAAGATCAATTATACGAGAACCTTGAAAATTTTAATTTAAACCATATTTCATGTACTCATTATCAATGCATACGACGCAAAATGTAGAAAGAAATCATCTTTGATACGTTTCGAAAAATATAATAAAATAGAAATAATTTAAGGCGAAACACTGTTAACGTCTACAATGAATCACTTAAATATAGAAAATATCACAGCACTGCATTTAAAAAAAAAAATTGATTTGAAAAAAGAGATTGTGGTTTGTTTATGAATAAGAAAGAAACGAAAGAGAGTAGAAAGAATATATCTTATAAACAGAGAGAAAGATAGCGAGAAGGGGGGAGGGCTGGAGTGCGTTATCATAATCTGGTTCAGAATGGAAAGTGCTGTACCAATCCTAATGAAGCTCGTCACATTCGCAAAGGCTTGAAATTATAAGTGTATATATTCACAATTGTATTGTATATTTGGCGAACCCTACAAACAATTGTCGTGCATGACTTATGGATTTTATATATCTGGTTGAAGTGAAGCATCGTCCAATGGGATCAAGGCCAGCTGATATCACTTATGAGAGTTAATATCATAATTTTTCTTTATTACTGTTC